TCTTGAATTCGATCCACTTCCGGGATCAATGAAATAGATGTTTATTTCTCATTTTATTTTAGTAAATCTCACCCGGAACTGATCATTCTCGGGATACAGACCAATAGGGAATGGCTAACTAGGAAAACGGTACGTGGACCCAAGAACTCGACCGTGAATCGAGCTCCGATTTCCGAAGAACGACGAGGGAATATTTTGGGCCAATGTGGGCCGATCCAAGGAAGGTGAAGGATTTGGTTTGGCCAACGACGTACGATCGGATCGCGGGTGATCTCGCACGACCGAGGGTACGCGTGGCGAACAATCCCGAACTTATTCCGAACGATCGCGACCCCCGGAACTAGAGATAAATCCTTACGTTCTCTTGGAAATCGAGACCGTCACGACTCGAGTAATCCTAAGTCGATACGCGTAACCCCTAAACAGCCGTCCGTTAGTGAGAGACGCTAAAATCGTAATTTGAGCGAAATTGATCGTGGAATTGAATCTGGACTTGATTGTCGAATTTCGCGAACGTACGCGACTATTTTTGCAAGGACAACGTCGTATTAGTGTGGCCAATTATATTTGGGATCGGGTTGGTGGTAAAAATGAAATTTCGGACCGGGAGTGGAAAATTACCGTTTTGCCCCTAAGCCCTAAGTGTTAATTCCGAATTTTTGGAGATTTTAATTGGTTTTATTCAGCCCATTGGTGCCGAAAATCATGGACAAATCAGCCCCCCATCTCCTTTGCTAATCCCCAAAGTGCCCTTGGATATTTTGTGTGAGATTGAATCTTGGCCATTGAAAGTGGGTTGATTAGATTGGTATTCAAATATTGGCCATTAGATCTAGTCTTGAGTGGAGTGGGTAGATTAGACAATTTTAGAGGGTTTGGTCAACCACCCCACTCACCAATTTTTGCTAAAACTCTCTCAATCTCTCTCTCTCCTCTCATTCTCTCCCTCATCAGCCGAAGCTCTCCCCTTCACCCTCTCAATTTTCTCTCATTCTCTCCCCCGGCCACATGAGGCTTCGCAGGAGCAGCCCACCGCCACCGGCCACGCGCCGCCGCTCACCGAGGCCACCCGTCCGCACCACCGCCTCGCCTCACCATCACCACCCGACCGTCTCTCTCCCTCTCTCCCTCTCTCGTCTTCACCACCACTACCACCACGGACCAGCCCCTTTTGGCCGTGCACCGTCGCCGCCGGTCCATGCCCGTCTCACCTCGAGCCGCCGCCGCCACCTCAGCCCTTTTTCCTCTCTCTTTCCCGTGGCACCACCACCATCACCGTCACCCCCGTCCCCGCCGTGATCAGCCGGAACGCCACCAGCCTCGCCGCCGCCGCCATAAGAGCCCCAGCGCCGCCGCTAGTTCCGCCGCAAGCCGGTGACCGCCCAGCTCGTTTTCCCCCCTATCCGGCCACCTTTGGAGTTTAGGAGATTAAGTGAGTACAAACCCTAAACCCTAATTAGGCTATTATGCATTTCTAGATAGGTTTAGGGGTTAATTAGGGTATTTTAGGGGTTGATTAGTGGCGAATGATTAGGGCTCACCTTGTGGCTATTTTGATGGATTAGTGTGATAATTTAAATGTGGTTTGGTAGCCTAGAATGGGCTGATTAGTGGCTGATCATTGCGGACTTGAATTGGGCTAATATGTTGATTAATATGGGTGCATTGTGTGAGCCGTGTAGTGGCTGATTATGTGGTGAATTTTGGGAGTCTAATGTGATGAATTGGAGGTGGATTAGTGGCCTAGAGTGGACTGATTATTGGCTGGCCATTGTGGATTTAATTGGACCTTATTCGGCTAATTTAGGGCTTAATTGTGAATTACCGTGTGTGCCTTGGGTTGTCCATGTATTGGCCGAATGGTGCATGGTTCGGGATTGATTGTATGATGCCATGTTGAGTGTTTGATGTGGCCGAGAATTGAGGGGCATGGCGGGCCTTGAGTGTGCATAATTATATTGATTAATCACATGAATTCGGGTGCCAATTATGTGTTGTGGCTGTTTTGAATTAATTGGTTCATTGGGCATGCTAAGTTGTGAATTAAGCATGTTGTGGCATTAATTGAGTATGTGGCCAAGATAAAATTGAGTGCTCAATGTGGAAATTATGGATGCCGAGTGTGGACGTTATGGCCATGAATGTGCATATCGAACATTGGCATAACATGTGCATTATGCGAGTGTGCACAAATGACATGAGCATGTGATCACCTAAATCGCCCTAATGCGTCTTACGCAGGGTTCAGATAATAATTGGTGGTATGAGTACGTGTGATCACATAAAACCCTGATGCGTTTTACGCGGGGTATCGAACCCGTCCTGATGCGTTTTACGCGGGACGATGCCTGGACTACCAGAAGATGGCCAACCTGATGCGTTTTACGCGGGTTGTGTCATGAGCCTGATGCGTTTTACGCGGGCCGGAGATCGATCGAAAAGTGATAGACCTTATGCGTTTTACGCGGGTCAGACAATAAATGGAAAGTTGGCACGTGTGCAAGTGTGCAGAAATGAACATGAGCATATGCATAGTGATGGCACGAGTGCAAGAGTGCATTAACGAGTGCAAGCATGTGCATGGCATGTGTTCGTGGCCAATTGTTATGTGTGTATGTACCATTGTTGGGCTCAATGCTATTATTATTATGTGCCTAACCTGCAGGGTCAACATATGTTTGATTTGGGCCCGAGGGCCTAAGTCGTGTGATTGCTCTATTATGTGTTTGGTTAATACTTGTCCGGAGGTACATGTTAGCCTAGTTTAGGTTTAGGGGGCTTACTCGCTGAGATTTATTCTCATTGTTGTTAAAACCCAATATTTCAGACCCCCAGCCTTGAGGATGCCAGGACTACCGATTCATTTTGGGATCCCGTACCGCATAGAGCGGTCGGTGATCGAGTACCCCGTTGGGAACGGGGAGACTTACGTTAGACATTTTACTACCGTTTGGGTCGATGTGGGCGAGCCACAGTTCTAAGCTCATCAGTATCTCGGTTGGTGTTTTCGGGACCCGTTCGGTGTTTATGGACCCCTCAGGACTTTCGATGTCTCGATAGATGGGCTAGGTCAGTGGGATCCACAGACAGCTGATGGGGATGTGGCCAGCCCCGAAGCCGTGCCTGGGGAGGATTTTGACCCCCGGCCAGTCATCTTCGAGATGGATTCCGATCCTGAGGAGGAGGAGCCAATGGAGTGGGAGTCCGATCCCGAGCCGGAGCCGATGGAGCTGGAACCAGAGCCGGAGGATGATTTTAAGGAAGAGCCAGTGGAGGTCGAGTCCGAGCCGGATTCTATGGACTCCGAGTCCGAGTCGTCTGACGATTCGTCCGAGTCTTCGAGATCCGACCCAGGCTGGTTACCCTAGGATTTATCCTTGACCATAGTTAGGTAGAGCCGACACTTTTTGGAATGAGCACTTTTAGATAGTGCCTGACCGCCCCGAGCCCCATACCCCTTTTTGAAGTTAGTAGTTGTTGACCCATTTTGGTTTGTGTATATTGTTGTCAATGGATATTGTAAATTCTCCATATTAATGTAAGTTGTATTTATCGTAATTATCGCTATCCTTGGTCATGTGATTTTAATATGTACGGGTGTTATGTTGCTTCCGCATGTGCATTGTTCTCTGTCTTGGGTTTTGGGTCGGCGACGCGTCTTGGGACGTCGCACTGAATCGACCGACAAACGGGTTGTCGCGTGCCGTAGGGTTCGGGGCGTGACAATCACTGAGCTGGTAGTAAGACTTGCACTAACACATTAGTACTCCCAAGAGAATTGATTGTCCCGATCAACCTCTAGCTCCTACAACCCATGATTGACACCTAGCAATATGTCATGGCTACCTAAACAGTGTGAATGCTTTAAGAACATAATGAACCTGTCCGCTTTGGCTACAGTATAATTCAATCCCTCTGCCTTATTGTGTCCCGATCGAACAAAGACCATGGAATATTTGTCAAGCCACCAATTCGATCATATGCACAAACCTAATTGACATGCATTTTATATGAGACATGAACAGTTCATTCTCGGTTACAACCCCGGCCGAGGATTTTAATGCAGTGTCAAGATTAGATTGCATAGGACATCATTATTGTACCTTGCGTATAACAAGGAGACAGATTCCATTTTGCGCACACGTGTAACTTCGTATGTGAACGAACTATGGCCATCAAGTACAAAGACGGATCAACGAACCGGCAATATGCGCACCTGTGAACCATAGCCATCCGACACACAAGTCAACATTGTGCTTCAGGTCTAAGGATTATTTATACAAGACCAGAGCATGAACGATTAGGCATTGACCACGCTAAAAGCTTCCATGTTGCTAATCGTTATATGCATGTCACGTTCAGTGAACTTATCTGGTACAAGCACCTGTGTTCTAACTCGGGCATCACAATACCCAATGACTCATGACTCGTCATTCCCTTAAGTATCCAATACTTAATGGTGAAGCTAAAAACACACCGGTCTCAACAGGATCATTAATATCCACTCAATGATCCATCGATCGAGAACAATTTAAAGATTCAGTCTAACTATGAACCTGTCACAGATATTCTCAACGTCTCGAGAATAGGTCCAGTCACAAATGATCTTATGAAATCATTCATATATTTAAATAATTAGACAAATGAATGAATACGTCATTGCCATTAAATAAATAATGAAATTGAAAATACAACTCAAATCTCTAACATATAACTATTACATGATGACTTTAGGGCATACTTCTAACAGATCCTCCACCTTGGGACTTCCTATGCATTCTTTTATGTCAATTGAATTTTGAAAAAATGGGTAGGTTAAAATAAGCAAAAAGAAAATTTCATGGGTTCGTTCGGCTCCACTAGGCAAAGCCACCTTTTTTGTCCTTGTGCGCTAGTCATTCCACGTGACAATGACACATGCGAAAACCAATTTGGAGAACTAAAAGTTTAAAACCTTAAATGAATAGGTTGAGATTAGATATCTTATTTGGTAATGTGATGGGTCGACCATGTTACATCAGTCGTGCTTAACCGATGCATGAGATGTTTGTCCTTTTGCCATTCAAGTCCTCTTTCTTCACGAGGATTGCACATCGACTCAGAATCCTGACCAGTATGTTTTACGTTTCTACTCCTCAAGCTGCCACATTCATCAGTCATCACTTCATTTGATGCACACCACTACGTACATCAAAACAAAAGGTCCATTCCCTCTTCCATGTTCAAACAGAAACCAAAAATTTCACTGGAAAAGCTCAGGGACACAGAGAGATTGATCATGGAGAGTTTCCGGAGGAAACTAGGTTTAGCAGTGACGTTGATCGTGATGCTGACGCTGACGACCATGGCGGAGCCTGCTGACGGAGCATTTCACAAGGTGGGAGGCAGGTCCGGTTGGATCGAGCACGCCAACTACACCAAATGGTCCAGCGGCGAGCACTACTCCGTCGGAGATTGGCTCTGTGCGTTGTTTTATCTCCTAAATGACTTTTGTCTTCGTTGATTAGTTTGAGTGAGTTGTAATTGCAGAATTCCTCTTATCTTTTTTTGGTTGGAACACTGACTTAAAAGCTTAATTGGCTTTGTCTCGATGGCAGACTTCGTCTTCAATAAGCAAATGTATGATGTGCTGGAAGTGAATGAGACGAGCTACGAGAGCTGTAATAGCCAAGGCTTCATCTCCAACGTCACGCGGGGTGGCCGAGATGTGTTCGAACTCAAGGAAGCCAAGACTTACTACTTCATATGTAGCAGAGGCTATTGCTGGGGCGGCATGAAAGTCTCTGTCGACGTTGTGGTAGCCTCGCCAGCACCAGCTCCATCTCCGTCCGGAGCCACCCCTCCATCGCTGGTTAGCTCGTTGCTCGTGATCTTCCTTTCAATCGTAACCGGCTTGTTGAGCCTCAAACCACCGAGTCGCTAGCTAGAGTCATTTAGAAATTACAAACCCTCTCTCTTGTTAAGTTTCTCGATCTTGAGAAATAAGTTTGTGGAAAATTAAATCCGGTGGGACTCATTAGATCCGATGGTCAAGATTCATTTCGGTACATGTAACGCAACACCTCCTCGTTATGCAACTATGAAGAGGCACGATGTTGCTTTGTTAAAATGTGGGCATTGACGATGGTGCAAAACCATGTGGCATCTACATTTCACATCTGTTTTGCTTCCGAATGCTTCCTCATTATCCTGGTGAGATGATAGCCCTTCGTGCAGGGGCAACAAAGGTGGACCTAAAACTTATTTTCTTACATTGGGACATATGCATGACATGTTTGAGTTAACACCATGAAAAACCCCAAACTGATACATGTGACAAATTTACCATGAATTAACTTTTTGACCACTAAAAACCCCAAACTGATACATTTATGACAAATTTATCCTCCATTAAATTGGATTAATACTGTGAAAAATTATAAACCGGTACACTTGTGACAAACGAAAGGCAAAACCCCAAACTGGTACACCAGTCAATTGCCATGTGTCATCCGACTCAGAAATTTGACGAAAAAATTTAACGGAAACTAACGGATGATAAAATTATCACAGATCTACCAGTTTAAGATTTTTTGTAGTCAAAAAATTAATTTTGGATAAATTTGTCACAGGTGTACCAGTTTGAGATTTTTCGTGGTGTTAACCCTAACATATTATACAACTTGTCTAGAAAGGACAATCAAATTTTGAAGCCATCAAATGATGCAAAATCAGGTCATAAAATTTATTCAACCAGTGTAATCAACAATATCAATTAACTTCGATCAATTTGAACGAAGAAAAATACCGATGTGAAACATTTTAAATATTTTTGGAGAACATAGAGCATTAATGTGGACCCACAAAAAGGCCAAAATAAAAAAGCAACAAAGCCAAAAATTAAAAATAGAATAATAGAACGGGGATTGCGTATGAAAGAAAAAGAGGAGATTGCCCACTGGCCTATGGGTCAAAGCCATCACAACTTTGCGTTCATTTCATGAAAAATAAGTATTAAAAATGATTACTTATATCATTTAAAAAAATTAGTCAACAGAAAATATTTTCATCATCAATAATAATTTATACCTAACTATTTTCGTGGACGATGAAAAAGTTTTCCATCCATTTATTTTGTAAGCGATTATTTTTTGGAAAATGCATTTCAAATCACTTAGTTATGGTTTCTTTTCCACCTTTTTCTTTGTTTTTCTTTTTAATTTATTGTCCTCTCCGATATGCATCCACCTGGCACCAGCCTTGAAAAATAGTAAAACAATATTTTTAATTATTTAAATTAAAATAATAAATGTATTTAATTGCACTTTTGAACAAGCTATAATCACACTATTCAAAAGGTTAAGGACTTACAATTGCACTATCCCAATAAATTTTACAATTTTTAATGCGCTTATCCCTACTATTCACCAGCTCGCTTATACAGGAAGCATTTGAATAAGGACCTGTTGAATTGATTTTTACTTGTTATTTGTTTAATCAAAATTACATGGCTCACACACTTTAAATTTTTTTACCCCAAGAAATTGAAACCTTTATTACATGCACATATTGATACAAGATTAAATTGATTTTCAATAATTTTTTTGAATTTTAAATTAGGAGGCGTTTATCTTAAACAATAAGGCCCTAATAAGTTTCAAGAGTGAGCCTATGCAATGGACAAAAAAATAAGGGTTAATACCACAAAAAATCCCAAACTAGAACACATGTGATAATTTTACCCCAAACTGGAACATCTGTGATAATTTTACCACAAACTAATTTTTTGACAACCAAAAATCCCAAATTGGTATACTTGTGACAAATTTACCCTCCATTAATTTCTGTTAAATTTTACCAAAATTACTAAGTTGATGGGTATACCAGTTTGGAGTTTTACCCCTCTATTTATCATAGATTTACCAATTTGTGATTTTTTGCAATATTAATCCAATTTAATGAATGGTAAATTTATCACAAATATACTAGTTTGAAATTTTTTGTGATCAAAAAATTAATTTTAAATAAATTTATCATAAGTATACCAGTTTAAGATTTTTTGTCGTCAAAATATTAATTTGAAATAATTTGTCACAAGTGTACTAATTTGAGATTTTTCGTGATATTAACCAAAAAAATAAAAATGTGCTCTTTTAGTCTTGACCACCAATCAATTCTCCAAATTGTTGATTTGAAATCAAGCGAGAATTGGATTTTCCTTATTTTGGCGAGAGCTTACCGTCGCTCGGTTTCAAAAACAACATAGACAGGAAAAGATAATAATTAAGCCAATTCGTCGGTATAAAACTGTATTTTCCATGAGTTCTTTTTTAAAAAATTTTACTTTTCTTATAAAACACAAAGCTTGAGATCAGTTTCTTGATGAAGGTTGAACGCCTGAAATCCTTATAAAACATGAACACGAATAACTCACGATTCCAACCCAACCACCCCACCCCCCCACCCCCCTTTTTTTTTTTACTGTCTCGGATATGATGCTCCGCACGAAACTGTCTATGTTTGCGCAAATAAAATTAAAAAAGCGATACATCTGAGGCTAATATAAGGAAAGCATCATCGGATCAGATAGAGACTACAGAAAATCTAAGATACTGGTAAAAGTAGACTAACCAAAAGAAAAAAAATCCACTCCAATGCCAGCAAAAATTTTTCTGATTTGACTGAAGAAGACGATCGAACTACATACTTTTTTCCATCTTGGCAAAAGGGGAAAGAAGAAACTTACATAAAATTTTCCATCTTGGCAAAAGCCAAGGGGAAAGAAGAAACTTACATATAATTTTCCATCTTGGCAAAAGCCAAGGGGAAAGAAGAAACTTACATATAATGTAACCCCCGGGAATAATCTAAACGCCACTCACACGACGACATGCCAGTCTTGGGGATGGTCGATTCTTTCACCATAGTTAGTAAGCATCCACCTCAGTAGCGCGGAGACATTGGCCAACTACACATTCCGCGAGGAGGGGGGGGGGGGGGGGGGCGGCTCCAATTTGAAAAAAGGTCAACCCGATACAAAGAACAGAGAAGCTTAGGGACAAAGTTAAATATATACACACCTCCTCCAATGGTGATTATTCGCAAGTTTTATTGGCAGGACTTTTCGTGGATATTTTCGCCCTTCTCTTCCTAAAGGACCCGGAGTTGGGCAAGAAAAGCAGCACAGAGGTCCAAAAACAGAAACTGGGGTCCCTGGACCCTCTGCAAATCGAGTAGATATTTCTCCTCCGTCGTTTTATAAAGCTTTCGAGGGAAAATGCAGGTATTAGCTATATGTATAAGAAGTTAAAAGGAAGAAACCGCAAAAAAAGATCAAACCAAAAGATCAAAGTTAGGCATAATGAGATTGATCTGCTAATTTGTACTCTCCGTGACGTGGCAAATTTTTAACACGTATTAACCACGACCCACTTTTTTAAAGACAACGACAATCTGCCATATTACTTAGTATACCAATTTAGTTAAACTGGTAATCGCATATCAATATAACTGGTAAAAATCAACTACAACTACTCATCTACCATATTTTGCTTTAGTATTTTAGAAGCTCGATTATAAAACGGGATAGGAACTGCACTTAAACCACTCAAATTACTCTGGAAAGGATAAAAAGATTCTCGCTGTTTAGTGGACTTTACCTGCACCTCAAACTTGACCACATTTCTGGACTTGGTTGCACCATCATTCTCGATTATTGTAGATTCGTCACCAAAATAATTACTCTGGACAGGATTGCTAACCATGCCTTCATGACTGGAAACACCAGGATTCCACATGCACTTCATGTTGTAGTGCCCAATCTTCTTCCAGCACACATTTAGTTCCCGCAGCGCCTTCAGAACTTCAGTCATTATTTCCCGAGGATGGGCTCGAGACTGCATCAAATGAAGTTATGAAATTTTTATCATGCAGATAAGCATAAATAAGTACCCAATTAAGATAAACAAGAGACCATTCATCTAAGAGCAAACTGACCTGATGAGTTTCCCACGATATGAGTTTTCTCCATCAAACAGAAAGCACCAACAAGCACCCAAATAAGACAATAACATGCCATTCAATAAAGATATGGTGACAAAGCACATTAGCTCCACAAATACAGTCACACTATTACTTCTCTCAACTCGACACTTTGTCAGCTACAGTTGTTTCAAGGTCTATTGTCTATACTCCAACTCCCAGGTGGAGTCATCCCCATCTCCTACACCCGATAAGTTGAAAGCTTATAATAGGGTGAAACAGAATATCCTAAACCAGATTCCGAGCAATAGCTGCTAACGACCAATTTTGCGACACATCTCATCAGGAAATTAACCCGACTACTGAATGGAAGATGGTACCATAACTCCCACAAGGAGATCACATTAAGGCCGATAAGCTGAAGCTTAAGATAGGATGGAATGGAATGTCAAGTTAGGAACTGGTGATTAGATGATGAGTAGAGTTCTTTGCTATGTTAAATTACGAGATAAGTTTCCTTTCCCTATTAAGTATGATATCGGAGGTTTCCCATGTGAATTGCGTCTCATTTAGAAGTTTCCTCTTTCATCTAGGAGTAAACAAACAATTTTGCCAGCGTAAACAGACATCTCATCAGGACATAAGCCTACCACTGAATGGAAGATGGTACCATAACTCCCACAAGGAGATCACATTAAGGCCGATAAGTTGAAGCTTATGATTGGATGGAATAAAAAAGTTGAGTCAGGCATTGGTGATTAGATGATGAGTAGAGTTCTTTTCTTTGTTAAATTAGGAGATAAGTTTCCTTTCCCTATTAAGTATGCTATTGGAGGTTTCCCATGCGAATTATGTGTCTCATTTAGAAGTTTCCTCTTTCATCTAGGTATAGGCTTTTTTAAGATTAGTCTATGTATCGGATTGTAATCTTTTTTTTTTGGTAAGGATCGGATTGTAATCTTTTCTTTCCAATAAAACTAACAAACATTATTGAATTTCACCAACTTTTGCTTCAGAACCGTGTGATGTAATTCTTCTTTTAAAGTGTGAATGATGATGCTTAAGAAACAGGGAGGTGTGATGCTTAGGAAGTTTTTAAGTACAATGCCTAAAGGAATAAACTAGCTTTGCGTTATCATTCGTCGTGATGTCCCCTCAAGTTGTCTATCAAATCAGCCTCACTGCAATGCAACTAATTGTCCTACATTAGGTCTTTGCTTAACCATCACAAATGGGGGTTTTAGTCAAGCGATTCTAGTCCTAATGAGGGGTCTAACTCTGTGAGGTTCAGACAACAATTTGTAGTTGCACTTCTTTTTGCTGGAATGATTAGAAATCATGGATCGTAAGGGAGAGAAGAGGGAGAGGTGCTGTTAATTTAGACATGTAAAGTGCATACCATGTCACCAAAAAACGATAAAATGAATGATGAATCAAAATATAGAATATGACTCCAATTTTAATAATGAGTAGCTGTCCGTTCCACAGTATTTGACTGTAGCACATTGACAAAAGCTATCCATACTGAACTATAAGAGCAATATCATACACATATGCCTACTATATATAAATCTAAAAGGTGCTTATGGCAATATCAGCTTATCTAAATCTTTAAAGGGTCCATAAACTACAGACTTACTCATAAGGGTCCGTAAACCATAGACTTTTCTCACGAGAAAAAAAAGAGTAGCCTGTTGGCACATTCAATTACTCGATCAATATTAGTGTTTAAGCAAATTTATGGTGCAATGTAATCGAATTTAACATTAAAAAAGAGAACGTCGAGTATCTTCACCTGGAGACCAAGAGCCCATTTCTTCTCAGCACCATAATATGCTGGTTTTGAATTCACTCCCTGGTAATCCATATATCCAGGAAGCGCATAGCGAGGCCCAACAGTTGGAACGGTGAGCTCACCTGGATTTCCACGATTGAAGTTGCACTCCTACAGAGAAATTTTGAGATTTAACATTTTAGAGGGCCTCAAACACTTGTTCCAGATGACAGTTCCTGAATACGAAACTCTCTACTTAAAAAAAAAAAGCAAGCATATGTACAGCACAAAAGTCAGCCTCACTGATTAAAGTAACGCTCCCTGGGCGACACAGTTTAAAAGCCAACTTTTGAGGGGCCTCATTCAAATTGCACCAGATAGCAGTCCAGAATATAATTTTGTGCTATGGTATGAAAGGGCAAGTACATATGCAGCACAAATATCAGAACTAGGTCCATTTAGATGTTGAGTAAAACACTAATAATATTTCTCACTACCAAAATGAAAAACCAACAACCAGATAAAGAGCTAGAGCCAACAAACAAATTCAAAGAAAAATGATATTGACGCACCATCGTTTCTTGAAACTCGTCTCCGAGGTAGCCATTGGAAGGTCGAAAACGATTATCCAATAACAAGTAGTACGCAACGGTAGCCTGAAATATCCAGCAATCAACATTTTTTCCCAAAAGAAACACAAAATCAAATACAAGAGGCAGAAGAAGAGAATATCTAACCTCATTTTGAATTCGGTTGCGAAGTGATTCGCCAAGTTGACCAGGGTCAAACCCCATCTTGACCACTTCCTGGAGTATTTCCTCATCAATCTACAAGATAAACTCTGAGAGTAAGGTGGAAGCATTATTATGACATAATAAGTGGAACAAAACTGAAATGCAGAGGTTCTAATATGCAAAACCAAAACAAGCATCTACAAACTCGCAGCTCACATGAAACAGGATTAAGTATCATCTAATCCATATTAAAGATATTCATTCAAGCATGAGCTTCATTAGACAGAGAAGTAAATAAAGGACCCATAACTGAAACAGGAATTCCATCAGCAGCCCCTTAGACGTTGGCAACAACACAGAAAACAAGTATTTCCTATTAAGTGATTTACCTATGGAGACATACACACAGAAATTTGAATAAATCGAATGGCCCTTCAGGAACAGCTCTCCAAAATTTTGACATTTTATTCGCTCTACTGAAGCACTGCTTTTCCTTTCTCTTAATTCGATGCCCTATAATTCTACACATGTTTTCCCTGCATGTCTACACGTGAGAACCAAATCATTTCCTCCAGATCTAAAGACACAAAAAAAAACCACTAAATTACGAAAACGTCAGATTTATCCAGAGTTGGGCATCACTTAGCAAAAGATACACATATAGAGAGAGCACTCAACAACTGGTCAAACTCGTATCATATAGGAAGGAAAATTGGAAAAACCCATGAATGATTGGCCATGTAAACATGAAATGATTAGGCTCCGATCTTCACAATAATGTTAACAATGCCATTGGCATCATCTTGCTCTCTTATAATACATTGTCTTTTTTTTAAGCGGAGAATTTCCATTTAATTTTTCTTATTTCTACTTATTTATCTGTTTAATATCTCGTTTCTTTATTTATTATCTTCCCGTGAGGAGGAAGGGGGGAGACAAACCGCATAGATTAAACCAAGGAATATTGATAATCCATTGAAAAAGTCAGAATTAAGGATACTGAACAATAAATGAGCAAATTCAATAGCTTCATTTACAAAACATCATCTCATGTGAAAGTATCTTTCAAGTGATCTGGATGAGGCATTTCCAGAAAGTTATGCGTCAAACCTCTGTAAGACAATGCCTCATTGGTAGTGGCGGCAATTTTCACCTAATACAAGGTATCAGAGAACTCCACACAACAATCTTCAAGTAATGGCAAAATGACATATCTATAGTTCACGTAAGAGAATCCAAATGCTATCCAAGACAATCAAAGCTGAAAAAAAGCACAATTTTCCTTTTAAGAACTATAACTCAAATCATCATTATACTAACCATACCTTTTTCGCTTGCTGCATTGTATCAGGTGGAGGCACGGCCAAGTAACGTGGAAGATGAGCTTGAAACCAAGGATGCTGACGGATCTCTGGAATGGTAATTCGTTTCATCGGATTAACTATAAGCATCCGTGGGATCAAATCCTTCGAACCTACTGATAAATGACTTGGAAGAGTGTACATCCCGCCCTAGAGTACAAGTCAAATGTACAAGCTAAGGTTCCAAATTCAAGTTGCAAGATAAATAACATGATTAATCTCTCCAGTGTCCTACTATGATCAAAAGAAAATCTGATTTGTGTGAAGCACTTCATGGGTTCAAACGGAATGTCATTTAATATTATATAGAGATGAGATCCCCCAACCCCCAAGCAAATTGCTGTGTATTTGGAGGGTTTTAGCTCACTCTACATCAGAATATCTACCATTCAAATATGACCACTTCCCTAATCCAGCATGTCATGTTGTCCAAGAGAAAAATACTTGTATCATATCTCGCCAATAAGATATTGAATATCATTAATCTCAGGAGTATTATTACTAGATTAAATCTAGAGCTCTTTAAGTATTGGTTTTCAAATGATGTTGAATTACTTCTAAATAAATTAGGTAAATAACAAACCAAAGATTCTTTGCGTGCGCAGTTTAAAGAGGTGAGAAACCTATTTGTATCACCTATAAACTATCTGACATGGCAGTCTAATAAATCTAACAAAGTACCTTAATTTTCTTGAAAAGGTTTGGTATGTTTTCATCATCGAAAGGGAGGGTACCACAAAGAAGAGCGTATAATATAACTCCACAGCTCCATACATCTACTTCAGGCCCAGCATAAAGTTTACCAGAGATAACCTGCAGAGCGAGCAAAGAAATAGTGTTCGTAAACAGAGCCTGTAATAGCAATATATCATCCTATCACGAATACAAGCCAAAGAGTTTCATCAGAACAATATTGAATTAGAAAAACTATCCATATCTCGTAAGTTTGAAACTTTCACTGCGGGTAAAAGAAGACAAATATCAACCTCTGGGGCGGCATAGTTGGGGCTCCCACAACTTGTCTTTAAGAAATGACCGTCACGCATTATGTTGCTCAGACCAAAATCTGCGATCTTCACATTCCATTTAGAATCCAACAGCAAGTTTTCAGGCTTTAGATCTCTATGAACGACCATATTCCTATGGCAGTATTCCACACCAGAAATAATCTGAAGAAAAGCAGGAGAAGAAAACTCGTGTTAAAGCATAAACTGTCGCACAAGGGAGACAAACTCGTACATAAATCACCGAACCTACCTGCTGAAAAAAGTTACGAGCTTCACTTTCCTGCAACCTGCCCTTCTCGACAATGTAATCGAACAGCTCTCCAGACTTCACATACTCCATCACGACATAAATATCCGAAGGCGTCTCGATGACTTCGTAGAGTCGGATGATGTGCGGATGCATAAAGAGTCTCAGGATTTTTATTTCTCTCCTCACTGCACCACAGTGAATATGCAAATAATTAAATACCATCGACTTCAAACGTCTACACGCTACAAACCTACACGCGCCCATGGCCAAGGTTCAGAGTAGAATTGGTAAATCCAACAGCAGGCAGTGCCGAAACAACTATCCAAATTCACATAAAACTACGCGCCCGAAAACTCCGTAATCGCAGAATTCAGACATTCAGCACCACCCTACTAACTAGATGGAAACTCCAAGACAATTCTCGTTACCTTTCTCTTCCATCTCCATGTTCTTTATCTTGCGCCGGTTGAGGATCTTGATGGCGACCTTGTGCCCGGTCAACACGTGCTCCGCTATCTTCACCTTACCAAACGAACCAATGCCCAGAGTCTTCCCGAGCTTATAGTTCGGTAAATACATGTCCGCACTGCTGCCCCCTCTCGTCGATCCATCCATCTCCCTCCTCCTGACTCAACCCAACCCAAAAACAAATTTCAGCCGGCCTCGCGAAGATCCAAGCTCGCTCGAACAAGCAGGGTCACCGGAAACCGCCGCCCGGCGATCTCCGATTTGGACCGGAAGCTCCGGATCACGGATCGCCGCGACCTGGAATGCCGACCAAGGCGTTCTTCCGAAGGAAGGGAAAAAAACAAAAGAAAGACAGTTGTTGATACTGATCACGCTCGTCGCACGCGTCGAAACGCACGTGGATTCTCCTTTGGCTACCGAACGCGAGAGAGAGGTGTGAAACGGAGGAGAAGAGGACTGCAAACCCTAGGCCAGAGAGAACGAGGATGATGACGAAGAAGAAACGTGCGAAGGAGCAACAGTTGTTTGTCTTGTGGCGTGGGCTTTTGAACTCGGGCCTTGATATAGACCCTTGCTGCCCTGACCAAGAAAACAGATATGGATCTTTGCTGTAGATAATATTTTAGTTAGGCTTGCGATTTTTCCAACCCTTGCTTTTTTCGTTTACTGACCACTTACCACCTTAAAATTTGATTCTTACTTTTATTTTTACTGTTTTTTTCTATGGTTTCGATTTTGCCAAAAGACAGCTCTACCCGTGTTCTTCTTGAACAACCGAGATTAAGATCAAATGTGGGGCGTTCTCTTGATTTAAGATGAAAGTAGGGTCCCTCTTTTCCGCTAAAAAAAATAAATAGTTTAATTTGGCAGATAGCTCACCGGTTATTGTGTTAATAATACCTTGTACATTTCTTTCTTTCTTTTTTTGTTCTTGGTAACCATTATTATGAAAATAACATGAACACAAGTAAGAGTGAGAAGGACATGTACTAGTTAAAATAAATGCATTCGGTTTGATTTTATCTTTAATAGTGTCATTACGTTCTAATCCTTGTATTTTGAGTGCTCAAATTTCGTTTTATCGGATGTAATAGTCCACTTTCATTGATTTTTCGTGCCATTACTGCACGATTTATTAAAAGATATTTTCAAAACAATTAAAAAAATGACAAAATCAACTACATTAAAAGTTCTAAACATCCATTACTATCATACAAATTCAAAAGAAAATGCTCCTTAAAACATTATAATATGCAATACTATGCTTGCCTTAATTCCATGGAATAATTAGTTGTTGACAAGATAATTATGGCAACTGTAATTGTATTATAACACAGCCCATTTAAACCATTTGTGAATTACATTTTTTTTTTTGTCAATTCTAAATGCACAAGAATTTCCATAGTAAAGATACGAAAGTATCTTCAAAGTACAAATTTATTGCAATAATAACAAGTTGCAAATAAAGGCTACTATCTTGGAACAAATTTTTTAACCTGAATTGGATAATTAAAGTTTTCAATCATATCAGTAAGAGTCGTCATTTACTTAAAAACAAATGAATATCAGGGAATAATTTTCAATGCCATAGTGTGAATAGCTCCAAATTTAGAGTATTTCTTTTGATTGAATTGTTGCTTGCTTAAGTTCTCTTTGCCTATATTATTTCACCACCATGAATTCCAATGGTCCTTGAATGTGTTGATCCGAGATCTTTACCTTTCGCTTTTCATGTTCGACTAGTATGGCCATAACCTTTACAAGTACTACATCTCTTCCCCTTTTCAACAATCTCAAATGCAGAAGGATCACATCATGTAGAAGTTTATTATCCTTTAGCTTTTGAACTAAAAGGATGACCTTTATGAGATGTAGTTAAGGGTTCATATAATAAAAGATCACTTATTCATGCAAATTGTTCAATTTGCTTTTAAACAACTTCCTTTTTGGAAAGTGGCCACTCTTGATACTTCCTTTCCAACTCATGAAGTAGTTGCGCATATGAACTTCTTCATTATTTTGAGTAACATCACGATCAAGAAAGGACCTTATATCAAGCCACCACTGTGGATTAATTATATCTAGAGGCAAACCATTAGTATACCTAAATCTTATCTTATACGCACATGGACGGCCCATGGATTGCATAAAATGCCCAATACAAGCAGGTAGCTCAACCCAACTTTAAGCAATCTCATATTTTGTTTAAAGCAAATATTGGCGTGCAAATAATCAAGTTCTTGAAAAAAGAAATATGAAGATGACAAGGAACTCTTACCCTTTTACTTGACAATTTGGTTTTGATTTCTTGAAACTAATTCTCAACTGCAAGACATTTCCTTTTTCAATTTGATTAAATCACCTGTTGAAACTCTTAGATATGCTTTCAAAGTTGAATGCACCCTTTGAGCTCTTGAAGTAACATGATTCTCAAAATGCATGTGTAGGTCTGTCCAAGCAGGCACAAAAAATTCTTTGAAAGGAAGTCATGTATTTTGAATGTAATTAAGGACCGATGGCTTTTCCCTATAACGATTTTCAAATTGCCAAATATTTTCATCATATTTTGCTTCACTCTTGGAGTTCAAAACTTTTGAGCAATTAGACATAAAAGAATCTTAATTAGTTCCTTCGTCAAACTGAGATTTACATTTTAACACAATATTCTTCTCAATGTGCCAAATGCTCAACATATTCAACACTTTTAAGAAAATTGAATGGAACTGCATTTATCAATGCCAACTCTCTATTAGTGACAATAGCTAAAGGTTGACAATAAACACCCGATGTGTTGGCAACATTATCAAAGCCCAAATATAATCTTCCTCTTCTTCCTTTCTCAAAAATGCAAAGCATGAGTAGAAAGAAAGTATTAAAGATGGAAACTCCAATAATATCCAACAAACGCATTTTGAATCTATTAGTCGTGTAAGTCCAATCCATTACAAAGACACTTGAGAAGCTCTTCGTTAGTGCCATGAAAATGGTATGAGAGAAAAATAAATGCATCAAGTGACCCCACCCTCAACATCGTGTTTAAAATTGTAGATAAATTCACCTCTAATAAGTTCATCCAATAAAGCTTGGACCACATAGCAACCATTCAGATATTCACGATAGGATTTCGCTTTCATGTTGTAGGCAGTTTTAGCAATAGCTTGAATGTTGGGGTTTCTTTGTCTCAAGGTGGAAAGAATTTGTGAGGAGGCATGCCCGCTTTATACATTTCTTTCACATGCAAAGCTTCAACTTTAAAAAAAGCGATGACACGTAGGATGTTCGGATATATCACTCGAAAGGTCATGATTATGTGATTCATTCAATATTTTGAGTGACGATGACCTGTTCTTTTTTTTTACGGCAATGAACTTGCAAAGGAAAGTTAATTAAACGAGATTTGGTCTTTCTTCTCGGACATGCAATAGAAATACTATGTTGATAACAACAATTACATCCTCTATCGCAACCAATAAGAATAAATTTGTCTTTCTTTGACCTTTTAATGGAGACAACATAACATTGAACAAGAAGATGTCTCTGCACACTACTCAACAGATCCTCTTGAGGTAGACGAGTAACGTTTCAAATGAACTTTTTTTTTTTGGCTGAAAAAGTTTCAAATGAACTTGTTGATATGACTAATTGCTCTTCTCCATCCGCATTTTAATTATGAAAATACATACATTTAAGCAATTTGGGTCCTCTTGAATATTGCCTTCCATAGAGACTACACTACAAAAAATAATACAATGAAATATGAGTACATTCCGTGAAACATACATCAACCAAAATATTCAATCTTTGAGTAAACTACTGTAAAATTGTAATGGAAATCGAAGTTGAAAAATTCACAATTATGATGAGAATCTAGGGGAAACAAAGTAAACAATGTGCAAATAAAACTAACCTTTCTTTACTTTCAATGTATGTCTAGCGCTTGCTTAGATTACAACAATCGGTTGAACTCTCATTCAAGTGTACAATGAAGAATAATTTAAGAAGAAAATGAACATGAAGGAAACGTTGAAATTTAGTAGGTGTAGAAGAAGCAATTATGGTGAAAAAAGTTGTTTGAGAGGAATAAAGGTAGTTTTGTCTTTTGGTAAAATTGAAACCAAAAAAAAAAGAAGAAAAAATGGCAAAAAATAATATTAGAGTAAGAGTAGGACCTCCAAGGGTTATTGCAGTCAATTTTAGGTAATAGAGGGTGTTAGAAGTAAAAAAAAAGGTAGAAAAAGCTCGAGCCCTTATTTATTATAAGCTTTCTGGCTGAAGACAAGCCTTTGTGGCACTTTATGAGCCGAAAAACTAGGTGGGCCCTCCCTCGATATATTGTTCGCCAAGATAGTATAGCCAATCGCATCCTCATCATTCCTCCTAACACACCCAATTTTCTTATAGAATTCTTGACACAATTATTTACTTTTTGATCTTCTTTTAGACCCTTGCAAGTCTAGCCTCCACACGTCATGAGCCGAAACTTTCTTGACTGAAGACAAATCTGTGTAGCACTTGATCAGCCGGAACACTCAGCCGGTCTTCCCTCAATATATCGTTGTCAAGGACAATATAGCGAATCACGTCCTCATCATTCCCCATACCATGCGGTGAATATGGGTGTTGAAAAATATGTTTCGATGAGAAAAATCTACTTTTTTATATATAAAAAATTGTTTTGTGCTTTTTATGTCATCTGTCAAATCTTGGTCATTTTATGATCGACCCTCAGTCAATTTAAGGATTTTCGAAAATATAGACAGATTTTGATTTGTGAGACTAATTTTCTTGTGGTGAAACTAACATCAACATGGACAATAAGAACGCGCATGATAACCATTATGTTTATCTATTTTTCTGTTTTCGAGAACAGGTTTGGAACAGAAATCTATTTTGTAAAGTAATTTTATTTTTCTATTTCTAGAATAAATTTTTAGTTCAGAAATAGGTTTGAAACAGAAATGAGAAGTAAAAATTTTCTACTTTTCTATTTCTGGAACAAAAAGAGAAATAAAAACTCTTCTCATCGCTCACTCTTGCCTCCCGCTGCTGCCACTCCCCACGGCCGCCCGTTAATCGCCACCCCCCATCGACCGCTGCCACCCCTGCCAGCCTCCCGCCTACTATTGCCTCCTGCCACTGCCGGCCCACCGACCGCCGCCAATCGCTCCTCGCCGACCACCTACCACTCACCATCGGCCGCCGCCACCCCCGCCCGCCGACCACCGCCTCCTACCGCCCATCGATGAATGGAAAAGCGCATAAGATGGAGAAATTTTGTGTCATTATCAAACGAATATCTCTGTTTAGAAACTCGTCCAAGGAATAGAAATAGAAAAATCTATTTATGGATTAGATGGTTATCATTCGCGCCCTAAATTAACTTGTGTCAACCACCCATTCTACGAGAACAATGTGCAATGATACAATTAATCCAACTTTTAATATATTTACATTCTATCGAGTCAATGATTATTTCAATATCAAACTTTTGGCCAGT